AGGTCGTCCATAAAATGCTTTGTTGTTCTGTTGTAAGTCATCTTAAAGATTCCTAAATGCATCTACTTTCGGAAGGCCAAATAAAGTGCTTTTGCTTTCGCCTAGAAACACACAGCGTCTCCCTGACATGGCTGCTTCAACACTAACTGCGGTTACTGAAACCACACCTTCTTTCTTTGCGTGCACATTTGGGCCACATTATGCTAATATTTCCACATAGTGAGGTAGATATGTGGGGGCGTGTTAGAACGAGCCGTTTTAGGGGTGTGTGGCAGAGTCTTAACTTTGATAAAGAATATCTCTTTGGTTTTGAGACTTTAGTCTTTGCAACTTCAGGGATCTTATCTATGCACAATCAGCTTGTAACACTCCAAAGAGAAAGGAAAACTTGAAATCGCATCATATGACCCCTTTAAAGCATAATAGGATCTCATTTCCAATGCAAAGACTGTTTCATACAATACATAATTATGGGTATGAATTTTAAAGACAGCCTTACCTTCCTTCGCAGGGGTAAACCCAGAATGCATTGCAAAAAAAAGTAGCTTTTTAACATTTAAATATTAAACTGGCGATTTCAGACCAAAATTTGTATATTTATACTTATTACATGTTGTTTTTCTCACATTTCTTGTATTGAAATCCATTGTGAAACAAGACATGTATATAGCCTACTTAAATTGTGTGTCCATAAAATTTATCAGAAATGTATTATATGACTAAATATTTAATTTGAATTTTAAATATATGGAAATTAAAAAAAAAAAACTTTCAAAATGTAAACTGACTATTAAACACAAATGTTTGTGCTATATATTTATGCTTAATAAAGTAGCATGTTATTCCTCTCACATTGTCTGTTTTGAAAAAAAATGTGAATATATTGTACATCTATAGTTATAATTAAAAATTATCATATTTTAATCAGATTCTCGATGTCGTCTGTATAAAAATCGATTGTGAAGCAAAACAATTTGAGTATGTAGGTATTGAGTATAAAAGTACTCATTAATTGTGGAAATCTATTGATAATTTTTATAATTTAAGTGTTTATAGACTATGTGCACTATTTATATTTGTGTGCACTATGTATATTTATGCTTCATAAAAAGTATGATGGCATTCCTCTCATATAGCCTGAATTGAAATCTATTTTGAAGTAAAATAATTTGACTAACTATATACTTAAATTTCATTACATATGAAAATGTATTGTTACATGTATTTTAAATGATTGCCTAAATTGAAAATAACTGTGTGCTTGTAACAAATTATTATCATGTTCATTTAAATTCATTTTCATGGACTTTTAGTTTGTTTCTAGTCAGTTTCCTTTTTCCTTTGTTTTAGTTCCTACCCATCTTTAGTTGTCTTGGTTTCTTAGTTGATGGTGTCATTCTGTTCAGATGTACTTTCGTTAATTAACTTTGTTTGCTCTGTGTACATAAGTTCCTCTTGTTTCAGTTCAGTTTGTCAGGTCTTGTCAGTGTTTTGGTTGTGTTTAGTTTGCCTGCCTTGTTTGGATTCTATTCAGTGTGAATTATTAAAGATTTTTTAATCTTAATCTTCTTTTTCGTGTTCTTTGACCAACCAAGTTGTGACTTTTTTGAATGGCCCAAATTTTGTATGAATGGCCCAAAATAATCACTTATGAGGTCCACTTTCAGTTAGAATGTTGACTTAGAAGGCAGCTGCCTGTGTAAGCAACTCACTACATTTTGGAAGTCGGAATCGGAATGGTTTCTAGAGTCATATACCAGTTCAAGATCGTCCGTATGACTTCTATAAAAATACTTTAAGAATACATCTAGGGAATACTTATTTTCAGTTACTCAACATAAAATGAAACGGGACACATATCGCTTTTATTGATAGTCAAATAATCCTTCTGGGGCACAACCTCATTGAAATCATCTCGCCAGGAACACAATCAATTGGACATGTTTCATGTTCAAATGGTGCATTTCACTTATTTTTGCTCTATTCGTGCCTTGATCTCTTGCACTTTGGTGCTCCATCTTGGATACGTGACATTTCCTTCATGTTATACATGCGGTTTCATTTTCATTTCCTTATCTGCCCTCAACCCTTGATCTGAGGCTTCATCCACTTTGGCGTTTGACGTTTGAGGCCCAGTCTGTTGGTGGCATTCCTGGTTGTATCCTTCATCTGGGCGGGGTTTTGCCTCTGTGTGCCCTTCTGTACTGTTTCTGGCTACTGAAGGACCCTTCAGCCCACCTCCCTTCATCTTCCCTCATCCCCATTGGTGGTTTTGTTGGTGTTTGCAGTGCATGGGCTGTGGGAGGAGTGGTCTTCATGGAGCCTGTGCTCAGTCACGTGTGGCCGTGGCACTCGGACCCGGAGTAGGATCTGTGTGCTCCCCCAGCATGGAAGCAAGGGCTGTGGAGGGCCCGAGGTGCAAACCAAACTCTGCAATATAGCTGTGTGCCCCGGTTAGTACTAATCTCCATTTCCGCATCTGCCAGCATTCTCTCTCTTTTCTCTTACTCAAGCCCACAGTATCTTCTGCCTTTATGCTTTTTTTTTATCACAGTGGGTCTCATTCACTAATAATTGCATAGGTGCTTTTACTTATGTGTGCAAAAAAAGATTTGCATGCAAAATCAAGATGGAACTATAATGCACATAGTTTTTTATGTTATTATAATTTTAGCAGTTATTCATTGTATCATATCATATATGATATATCATATCATATCATATCATATCATAATTTAATATAATTACTAATTAGATAAATTACAAAGCGGTTTAGAGCAAATCTTAGAGCAAACTAGAATGAACAAGAATAAATAAATAAATATTCAAAATACATTTATTATTTTTATTTTACAATTGTTCATATATCTATATGCACAAAACTGTGCATCTACACAGTTGGTGAATGAGACCCAGTGTGTTCTGTCTTCTGGACTCTTCTAACTTCTCTATTCTTTGCCCTTTTTCCATGTTGTATGTCGTTTCCTGCCTTGTCTCTCTCTTCACATGTCTTTCTCTGTCTGACCTTTCCCTTTCCTTCCTGTGTGCCATCCTCACTGCCTCCAGCTTCACCTCAGTCTGCTTGTTTCACATCAGTCTCTCTCTCTCGTCTCACCCCTCCTGTTCAGTCTGAAGGCCGCGCTTGAGCTCTGTGTTGTCTGCGCTCTATTTCTGCAGCCATGCCTCGTAGTTTCCTCTGGAACTCATTCATTCATTATGCAGGTCTCAAGATTTTTTTTTTAGATGAAGTGCTACTCAAATGGGGCTTGGCTCGAGTTAAGCTAATCGGAATCGCAGATGAACCAATCACACGTATCCACACCTGCTATAGGGTTTGTTGTTTCTTCTACAGCGCTGCTCTGGTCTCTGCCAACAGAATCTGTCTCCGAAATTAGTTATTACCCCACTGAGATGAGCAATACATCATTTGTCTGTTACATTTAAATTTGTTTTCAGTTTGAACAGGTGGATTTACCTGGAGTTGAAAACCTCCATTAGGCTGACATTTGAAGGGTTAAGGGTGACAGCCAATCACTGTGACTGTCTTTTATTTGAGGAGGCACAAATGAACAGCTGGGCCAGTCCGGCCGAGCAACTTTTGACTGACAGTGATTACAACCTGTCAGAGAGCAGATCTTCCACCTGTCCTCACCTACCGAGAGGCGGCCATGTGTAAAAACATCTCACCCTCCTCGTATTCAAATTGCATTCATGAGTGGCTACTGACGTGTAATCTGCTGATATAATTTAACACAGGATAAGGCACAGGACTTACAGAACGTAATGGTTCACAGTAAAGGATGGTTGACTGTGTGAATTTAAATGGAGAAGTTGTAAACATTGGCGTGTTTACTCCCACATTACTACAGCTCTATTTGAAAATATGATTACAGTGATGGTTTAATGTAAACAACATCAGTGAAGAATAAAGTGAATATTTGTTTATAGAAAGTTTATCAAAGTGCGCTCTATTTGCTTGTTAGAGGAATGAGGTTTAAGACTTGTTTGTATGACAGTTTGTCCTGAAAAAAAGATAAAAAAAAAATAATCTTAATTACACCAAACTTTTAAATCGTAGTGGGTAAAGATTTCTACAAAAGCAGAAAAAAAAAACTATTTTCAATAATGATAATAGTATAAAATGTTTTTTGAGCAAAGTTTCCTGAAATGTATGAAAAGATGTGCTTATTTATTTATTTAAAAAAGAGGTAAAATGAAACTAGAAACAAGTCAAGTAAATGTATTGCAAAATGAGAAATGGGGTGCTTAGGTTTACCATTCTTCCAAATACTGTTTGTTTTTCATGTCGTCACCTCAAAAAATAGATGGACAATGTTCATTAAAACATTTTCTGTTCCTTAAAAAACAGATTTTTGCTTTAATGGACAAATACACTAGCAGTTTATTGCCCTACACTGCATCAGCAGCTTGTCTAAAATGTATCAAACTCAGGTTAAAATGCATCTTGCTGAACATGTCAGAATTAGCTAATAAAACATAGCTGAAACTTCCATTTGATTTACTGCTGCTATATGAGCTCATCAGTTTATGTAATTCAGCAAAAATACATTTAAAGGGGTCATATGATGCAATTTAAATTTATCCTTTCTCTTTGGACTGTTACAAGCTCTTGGTGCATATAGAAGATCTGTAAAGTTGCAAAGACTAAAGTCTCAAATCCAAAGAGATATTCTTTATAAAAGTTAAGAGTCAACCACCCCTACCTAAAATGGCTCGTTCTAGCACGCAGTGTTGGGGAGTAACTAGTTACATGTAACGGCGTTACGCAATTTAATTACAAAATAAATGTAACTGTAATCAGTTACAGTTACTAAGAATAATTGTATAATTAAATTACAGTTACTTATGAAAATGTTAACGATTACAAAGGGGATTACATTTGAATATTTACACACATCCACATACAGATGTAATTTATGTCTTTCCCAAATTGCGCTGATTACTCTGAGACATACGGCCCTATAATTTCCGCGATGCGAAAACACAGACTGGTTCATAGAATCCAGTCATAAAAACGGAATTCCTATAGCCTAACGCGGGCGGAATATGCCACATTTTGGACGAATAAATCAAAAGTAGGTCAATACACTTGAATGAAAACGCGGTAGTTGTGACTGGCAATGCTTCGGCTCGCGCGCTCTCCGCCAAACGGTTGGATCAGATCAGTGTAATCAATGCGAGAGAGAGAATGGAGAGGACTGTGGAAGCGCACAGGTGGAGCAGAGAAGCTAAACTACTGTTCAGGGTTTCAAGTGCAGGTCAGTTTCATCTGTAAATATGCTATTGTAGTTTTGTCTTTGTTTACTTAGTTAAGCAGCAGCAGCCCATTGCTCAAAATACTGTATGAAGGACATCATTATTATCTATTGTAATGTTACAGTAGTAATTTAGCAGACAAATAATCATATTTTATAATAGGTTTAGGGGGAGCTAGGGCAGACGACATCAACACAACCTTTACGAAAATTAACAATGATTTTATTATAAATCCAAAGACTGGTTACTATTGTTAAACCATGGTAACCACAATTTAACCATGGTTTTTGCTACACTAACCATAGTTTAACCATGGCATTTGTAGTAAAAATTATGTCCCCAACCTAAGGATTTAAACCTTTTTTATGTGAGGTCCATACAAAAATAGGGTTGTCCGTGTTTCAGAATTTGTTGTGGGTGTGAGATTTCTCTGCCTGAATTTTTTTTTTCCCAGTCCGCCCCTTGTGGAAATTAATGGCGCAGACATGCGGTTTCATTTACTACACATAGGCCTACTGAAGCTTGCTGTGTTTTCAGCCTCTGCCGCCTCAATATATGAGTACATGAACACATAAACATAATCTCTAGATAAAAATCTCTCGAGTCACTTCATGAGCATTTTACTTATTTTGAGAAAACTATCGTCATATCATATACAAAGAGACACCAATGTTTCAAGAGTTTAGTACACAGAATAGGACACATTCTTATTAGATAACCGTATCTGAGTTGATGTATATGCTTTTATTTATTATTTTTTAATTAACAATTTTTTTCTCCAAACCATTGTTAGATGCAGTGTTTCCTGTAGTTATGCAAAGATTTCTTATCTATTAACTATTTCTTATGATTTTAAATCTGCATTGAACTTCAGATCAATCTCAAAGTAAAAGGCAGTACTAAAGTCTGAGTTTGTGGTGGATGTGTTCAAATTTGATAATCTTAATTCAAGTGATAAAGGATTGTGAAAGTCTGACAGTGTTGAGCACTACTGTAAGGTTAACCTTGCATGGTGTAAATGTTTGAAAATGATTAACAGTTGCAAATAAACATTCATTAGAAATTTAGAAAGGTAATCAAAAAGTAATCAAAAGTAATCAGTAAAGTAATTGAAAAAGTTACACTACTATTACATTTTAAATAGGGTAACTTGTAATCTGTAACCTATTACATTTCCAAAGTAACCTTCCCAACACGCCCCACATGTCTACGTCACGATGTGGGAAGATTTGGCGCTGTGTGTTTCGTTGTGAAAGCAAAACTACTTTATTTGGCCTTCCAAAAGAGGACGATATCAGCTTCGTCATGCCTATAGCTGATCCGTGCTGGTCGCTGAGGAAATACATCAACTTTGCGCTGTGGATCGCCAGATCAGCTTTCACCGTGGATGAAGTGGAGTCCAGCCCGGGGTCGTCACATGTGGTTGCTGCAAGCCACCCCTCCGCCACTCACTCAAGTCAACAAATGCCTCGTTTATAATGGGTTTTAATGTTTTGGTCTTGTCGCTCCGGCCGGGACAAGGCATCACAATTTGGCAAGGGGCGTAACATTTCCGTCACACACTTGAGGTATTCGGCCAATCACAATGCACTGGATAGCTGGCCAATCAGAGCACACCTTGCTTTTCAGACCGATGAGCTTTGTAAAAATCGACGCGTTTCAGAAAGGCGGGGCATAGAGGAGAAACATTAATGTACAGTATGTGGAAAATAATGTGTTTTTTTAACCTTAAACCGCATAAACACATTTCATTGTGTATTTGGTGTAATATAATGTTCTTTTTAGCAACATCATATGACCCCTTTAAGAGAAATCAAGGCCCAGAATTCTTAGCTACAGTCTTGAACACTCTGTTTGTTTGTGTGTATTTATGTATTGCAAGTGAGGGATATTCAAAGTATCCATTTGATGTGCTGAAGTCAGTGTTATTTCCTTAATTATACAGTTGGTTTCTCTCTCCCTCTCCCTTTATGTTATTTTAAAGTAAAGTGAGATGCCATAAATGCTCAGCTGTGTTTGTCGGGTTTCAGCTGCAGCTGATGTCTCTCCTGACAACCACAATATGCTGGCTCTCTGCTGATTTCATGAGCGATGATGAGTCCAAAACTCTCATGGAGGCGCAGACAGACAGGCCACATTTATCCATGTTTATTGAGTTTGCGAGGCTTTAGAATAAGGTTATTATTTATCATGTTCTTGCTTTGAGACACAGATCCTCCATGATCTCAGACATAGAATGCAGCTGCATCTGGTTTTGTTATACATCATTCTGCCAACATTTAAAGAGGTATTTATTTATGGGTAAAAAATGGTTATTTATAGGTATTTTTTATATGCTTTTCAATTTTTTTCTTTTCAATTTTTTTTATTTATTGTATTATTTGATTTTTTTTTTTTTACAAATATTTACACATAATTTTTTTTTTATATATTTACATTAACATGGATTTATGTGGTTGTGTATTTACATTATGTGTCTGTAGTATATGCATGTATGTGTATGTATATATATATATATATATA